GCTCGTCGGCCACACGGTCTAGCATGCCGGGGACATACATGGCTTGAAGCGACCTCAGATGCTTATGCCTCGTGCTCGAGGCAGCGATCGTGACCATCCCGTGACCCCAGGTAACGACCACATCCAGAAACACACAGATAGATCGTCATCTTGAAAAAGACGCAAACTATCTGTGTAAGCTCTTTTAGGGACTGCTCTCCCTGGTGTTGAAACACGCAGGGGAACAGTCACTGCGAACACAGACAGGAATGTGCGGGGGGGCGGGGGGTTGAATAACTGTTCGTCTGTTATAGGACAACTTAGTTTGAATAAACAAGCAGACACTGATTAGCTACTGGCTCTACGTTTATTTAACATGAACAGCAAGACAACTAGAAGTGAATGTGCTTTCCATTAAATGTATCACACAGTAAACAAATCCTTAACTAACAAAACAAACAAACGTTGCAATGAACGTGCTTTTTTTTTTAATAAGTCACACACAGTAACAAAACCTTAACGTAAAAACTTTGGAATGAACTTTGCAATTTAGACGCGCAAACTGCATGCCGGTGCGGTGAGACGTGCATGCTCGGGCAGATTCGGCTTGAAGTCTATGATTCGGACGCGGCGCCGCGCGCGCTGTTACAAAAAAAAGCCGTGCACACAGCCCATAGATATAAACACACAGCCAAGCCAAATGGGGTCTTGCCGGTCTTGCGCACCGAACGCGTCATTTTTGCCGCGCGCACCTTTGCGATCGTGCGGACGCGTCGAGTATAAACAAGGCTTTACTCCGTGTCAGCGCGCGCTCTGATCGGTAAAGGTGCACAGACCTCTCCCGAATCATCTCCAGCAGTAGCAGCCTCCGTTTCCCTCTTAAGCTGATATTAGTATTTAAACATTCTCTATGATAAAAAATGTTTGTAAAAAATATTTTAATAGCACGGTTTTGGCGGTTATAGAGTTCTAATGACGGTGTTCAACTATAACCGTCGGTCTCACGGTTATATTATAACCGTCACACCCCTAATTGTCACCATTGTTGAGATTCATATGCTGATTCTTGATGTCTGTGTAGGTCTAAATCATACTAAAGTTCCAAATTATTTTTGTACACTATGTGTTTTCTGTTTGTACTAAAGCACTAAAGCAAACACTCATCTCCAAAATGGTGACTTCAAGCTTTATTATTATTATGTCTTTGTCTTTTATATAACACAATGTTAGGCTGAGACGATTGCTGTGTTAACTAATTTCTCTTTACTGGGAACTTCTTTTATGCCTCAACACAACATAGAAGGGAGTGAACTAGAGCGCCTCTAGTGCACAGACATATTAAGTGCATATATCACAATTATTTTCAATAAAACATCAACATCTAAACCTCTGGTAATTTTCAATAACAACTTTTGTGACAAATTGGTTTGTAATACAATATTGTTTTTGCTAAATTGCTGGCAACCACAGCTGCCAGTTTTTTGTCTTTGTTTTTTTTTTCATAAATTGAAGTTCAATGCCATAAAACCTAAAATATTACTTCCATAGTTTTTACGGTAAAGCGCTTGAAACCAGCTGCTAATTTTTTTACGTAAATTTAAATTGGTAAGGTACAGAAAATGCAATGGAATGGTTTTTTTTTTTTTTAATCCTTACATTTAATAGTATTTTACCATAAATCTACACGAAATGTCCCATGAGAGCAATTAAAGTTTTTCACTTTGTATAGTAAGGGTACATACTGTTAACCAATTAACATGTCTTTTCCATTGTATTTTTACAGTTTTTTTTACCATTAAACTTACAAACATTTTTTACAGTGTATAATAGTTGTCATCACACTTTTAAAAGTTGCAGGATGTTATTAGTGAGGATCTAAGCATTCAAACTAGCAACTTCTGTTAATGCAGCTTCAAGAGAGGAAACATTCATTACCTTAATTTGTTATGGTAATGAATTATGTTGTTTATTTATCTGTCACATTATTTTCTATACACTAATGTAGCAATTTATATATGGCTGTAACAGTTTGTTGTTGTGGGAAGGAGGTGGTGGGAACCAGCGAACATTTAAAGACTTTTAATAATAAAATACTGTAAACAAATACAAAACAAAAGTAAAAGCAGCAGCACCTCACGGACGACTGCTGCCACATAATAAAGCAGAAACATAACATAAGTCCAGGCCTGACCTCTCTCGTCATTTACTGTCGTCGCTCCTTTTATGTTTCCGCTCCTCTGTGAGAGATATTTTTAAAGACTGAAGTTAACTCTGTACTTGACCCATTACAATTCGCATACAGGCCCGGCCGCAGTACAGAAGATGCTGTTAACACCGTGACTTATTATATTACTAAGCATCTGGAAAATCCAAAAGCTTATGCACGTTTATTACTTGTTGATTTTAGTTCTGCTTTTAATACAGTTCAGCCCCACCGTTTAATTCAGAAATTGAAGATGTTCAATGTTAATTCCTTTTTAATTAAGTGGTATCTTTCTGTTCTGACTAATCGGACCCAACAGGTTAGAGTCAATCATACTTTATCGGAGTTGAAACATATCAGTATAGGCGTTCCACAGGGATGTGTTAGTTCTCTGATTTTATTTACATTGTATACTAACGAGTGTTCAAGTTGTGATCATAACAATTTTATAGTGAAGTTCTCAGATGATACAGCGATACTTAGTCTTTTGTATGAGAAGAATGATTTGTCAGTGTATTTCTCAGTGATATCAAGGTTTGCAGAGTGGTGTGATCTAAATCATCTTATTTTTAACACAGAAAAGACTGAGGAGATGATTTTTGATCTTAGATCTAACACACCAGTGCTTTTACATGGAAAATTAATTGAGCAAGTACGTTCCTATAAGTACCTTGGTATCTACGTGGATAATACACTTAGTTGGGGGATTCACGTTGATACAATTTGTTCTCGTGTGCAGCAAAGACTGTATTTTTTACGTAGACTCAGACTTTATGGAGTTGACCAGAAAATTATGTGGTTGTTTTATCAGGCAGTTATAGAGAGCATAGTCAGATATGGCATTACAGTTTGGTTTGGTAACCTTACAGTTCAGGTAAAGTCGAAGCTTGCACGTTTGGTTAGAATAGCGATGAAGACCATTGGGAGAAAATAACTTTTGTCTCTTGAGTCATTATATGAACAATCGGTCCTGAGAGAAGCACATAAAATCGTGGTTGATCCATTGCATGTTCTGTACACTGAGTATGAATTGTTACCTTCTGGAAGACGATACAGATTTCTGATGTGTAGATATAACCGTTTTAAGAAGTCTTTTATCCCTTTTTCAATTAAATTGTTAAATGATGAATGATGTGTATATATGTGTATGTATATGTATGTGTATGTATGTGTGTGTATAGGAATTGTTATTTATTATAATACTAGGGATTTTAATGTATGCATTTCAATGTTTCAATGTCAATGTAAACACCTTGAGTCCAACACAAATTTCCCCTTTGGGGACAATAAAGTGTATTTCATTTCATTCATTCATTCATATGAGACTGGTGTGTCGCTCATCAGTAATCCCGCTCTCTCACGGCCCTCTGCTTGCTCACCACAATGGCTTTATAATTTTTTAAAATAATTTTTCATAAATATTTGATATTTGTTTAATATTAAAGGCAGGGGAAGAGCAGGAAGCAGGTGACGAAGTGAAAAATATACTCAGTTGTACACATTCAGCAGGCTATCCCTGTCACTAACTGTCAAGGATCTGCAAGAGGACCCAGGTGCAGAATAGCAGTGAATAAAAAATAAAAAATAAATAAAAAAAAAGACTGTAGACAGGTCACAACAAGGACAGTGAGGTGTGAAACAGTTTAAACAGTGGGGCTGACGACAAAATGACAGGCAAGGCTAGTCCTTGGTGACCAAGGGCTTGATGATTGCAGAAGAAGAGGCAGCACCTGGTGGAATGACGGTGAGGAAGACCAGGCAGGAACACAAGGAACCAGAGGCTTGATGATCACTTAGCTGTAGCACCAGTCTAGCTGCCAGGCAGTGAATGTCAGTGGTCAGGAAATCTCAGGATGCTTGGCAGGGACAAGCACAAGACTCACAATGAACAAGACAAGACACAACAAGATAACAGAGCAAGAATAAATGAAACAAGAGGCAAACTAAAACCTGATGTAAATAACTATGGCTAGATTAAAAAAAAGAATAAAAAAAGAACACTAGAAACAACTGAAACTTATAAACTAATAAAAATTAAACAAAGAACAAACTAGCAGGAAACTAGATACTGGAGAAACTAGGTCAGCCAGAACCAGGAACTTTTCCCATAACATCTGATGTACTCGTTACAACATAAGAAGAATGGTGTCTACGATAATATTAGTCTCTCTGTTTATCCTGAGGTTTACTGCAATCCGCCGGATCCAGGCCGGATCCAGACCTGATGAAGGGCCTGCGCCTAGACATGACAATGACGCAGCCCTAAGTGTCAAATAGTCTCTCCCCTGTGAAGGCCTCCTTCCCTTTACCTCTGTACAGATAAAACGTTATAAAAAGTATTCCAGTTTGCATGGATACGCAGAAGCGACTAAAAATTCGGTATTATGCAGACCAGACAAGTAAATTTGTGAGGTCAATTTGTAAAGAAAGACTACGCGCCTGCACAAATATATATTCAAACGCGTATACCTATAGACCAAACACAACATGCATGTGCACGCCATCGCTGTTTTCACAGATTCATGTTTTTGAAGTTTACACGGAGATAGTTTTTTTCTTTTTTTTCTTTTTTTCTTAAACTTGCACCTTGTTCCTTATCAAAAATAGGCCTACTCTCGGTTCTCTGAAGACACAAGACAGAAAAGATTTCACAAAGCCCATTTCAAGCCTTAAGTCAGTTTTGACCAAATGTGTAATTACTGGACTTTGGTTTTGGACGGCAGTATAGCGCTGTTAATGGATAATCAAAACTACACTTCCCACAATCCAGTGCTTTAAGGGAGCTTCCTGGTACAGCTTGCAAGCACGAGCTCAGCAGCACAGGTTTCGCAGAACGATCGCGCGCATCGAATTGAGCCTGTGTTTTTTTTAACTCAGTTTACCCTACATTTACCTTGCAACATCACGTAAGTATTTTGATACGTGCAATTTTCGGGCACGACTATAATATTAGCCGACATGTTGCAATAACAGATTCTTTCATTGAAAGGATCTTGGCAAATGGCCATTTTGCTGCGCGTTCATATGTTCGGCCTTGTTTGTTCTTATAATAGTTGTAAACGACTGACGCCTTTGAATCAGGTTCTCTTCCACTCATTTAATACCTGCAAAACACAACATGCGAAAATGCAAGCATTAATTCTTCGGAAAATAAATTGATTTTTTATAGACTTAGAAAGCATCATTGCAAAGCACGAGGATGCAACCATGATTAAATTGTTATTTGCCTGCACCTAGATTATATTCCAAAATTAGTTTCAAGCAATATAGCCCTGAATGTATTAGCGCAAAATATGCGTTTCACAACTGTGTTTTGGTTTTTCATTTAAATTGTGTTGTCCTTTTCAGAATGCCTAAGTCAAAGGAAGTGTTGTCTTCTTCTTCAGACAGCGACTCTGACAGTGAAGTTGACACAAAGGTATGGACACGAATATCCCCACATTACACTTTCACTTAACTGAAAGAAATGTAAATTGCATCCAAAAGTATTTGCATATGCAAAATTGGATATTTCTTGAGAATAACCACCAGTTTCATGTTGTCGAACATTAGAAGCATGACCGTACACAGGGTTTTGGAATAATGGGGGCCAAGAACAGCTTGTGCTGGGGCCCTGCTGGGATCATTTTGATTCCCTTGATCTATTCTACATATGTGCATTTTAATTCTAGATTGGATAACAATAGCTTTAATACCATGATGTTTTTTTATTTATTCAGTTGAAAAATAATGAAAAATAGCATTTGGTTGACAGGATGAGTATTTTTTGGTCCTGAGACTTCCACAGAAGATATCTAATTTTTTAAAAAAAAAATATTATATAGACCACTTCTATTATTTTAGAATTTATGAATCAAGTGAATTACTGAGACTATCAGGAAACTTTAACTGAGTTCATTATATTAATTCACAATTTTCACTCACACATTCATTCTCAATTACATGCCTAATATGCTGAAAACGGATCTGGTTGAGCTGTTTGCATCACTGGATCATTTCTATAACGCATTTGTCAAATATAAAATGTTTAGCTATACTACTTGCATCTTAATGTTTGACTGTTAAAACCGAAGCGCCATTATGAAATTCACGTTTGGCCATGATTAAAGTACCATCTTCATGTGAAATCCTAAGTTCCTGATAATGGCTTTCAATACAATGTAAAATTCTGTATTGCAGGCCAAGAGAAAGAAGCAGGCAACACCAGAGAAGCCGTCAAAGAAACAAAAAAGTGGAGAAACTTCAAAAGTGTCATCAGCCTCGAAAAGCAGCAGCAGTGAAAAAGATAACATGTTCCAGGTGAATGATCTAACAGAGATATGATGACATAAATGTTTGATACAGCATTACCACACTGCATTGTATGTTATATTGTTTTTTTGTTTTTAAGATAGGAAAGATGAGGTATGTGAGTGTTCGGGATTTCAAGGGAAAAGTGCTGATTGATATCCGGGAGTACTGGATGGACCAGGAAGGTGAAATGAAACCAGGCAGGAAAGGTAGGTTTCTATTCTTCATGGATTCAAATGTGACAGTAGAAATCCCAATTGGTAGAGATTCAGCAATGTGTGTTTTAACCAGTGGGACAGGGCTGATTTACTGGGGTTTGGATTTTAAAGTCACCATGAAATCAAAATGAATCGCAATTCTTATTTAATTTTTTACAGAATTCATCCGTGCACATTTTTTTTTTGTTCATGTGCCATAAAAACAAAACAATATGTATTCAGATGCATTTTGTGTATAAGTGATCCGAGTTGTTTATTTCCCAGAGTTCTGTTTTTCTGTGTTTATTACAGGTATTTCCCTGAACCCAGAGCAGTGGAACCAACTGAAAGAGCAGATAAGTGAGATTGACGACGCCGTGAAGAAAATCTAAGACCTGCCTGCAGTTCACTGTCAACATGGATGCTTTTTTAAACCGATTTTCACTCTACAGTTCTGTATCTGCTGCCCTCCAAAGCCCAAACACAGTATCTAAACCTTCCTGAATCCGTCAAGGGACAGGTCATAGTCTAGAGACCTGATTTTAGTTATGAATTTGAAGTAACACTTAATGTGTAATTACTATGTTTTTGCCCTTTGTAGAGTGACATGTTTCACAAGGAAAGTGTGGGGACCAGGACACTTTGTATGTATATTTTAGATTAGGTGTTTTTGAAGTAGTAGTTCATTGTATTTTTCTTTCTTTCTTTGAGTATCGTGGCTGGGGTTTTCAAAGGGTTTTGCTAGAGAGATAGGGTGTTAATTTGTGCCCTTCATTTTCAATAAAGATGAGGAAAATTCCCACACCAAGGATTTTGTTTTATTTCTCACAAAACTATAAAGGTACAGGAAAAACTGATCAAGTAATGACAAATTATACACTAACATTTAAAAGAAATTAATACGGCTTTTCTGCAAGGATGGATTAATTGAACTATTATAATAGTAAATACAATGTTACAAAAGATGTCTATTTCAAATAAATGTTCTTTTGAACTTCCTATTAATCAAAGAATATTGAAAAAAAAATCAACAGTGATGATAAAAATGTTTCTTGAGCATCAAATCATCATATTAGACTGATTTCTGAAGGATCATGTGACAGAAGACTGGAGTAATGATGCTGAAAATTCAGCTTTGATCACAGGAATAAATTACATTTTAACATATATTACAATAGAAAACGGTTATTTTACATTGTAATAAGATGACAGTTTTCACTGTATTTTTGATCAAATAAATGCAGTCTTGGTTATCATTTGGTGGGATTTCTTTCAAAAACATTAATAAAATCTTACTGGCCTTAAACTTTTGACCTGTAGTGTGAGTTGAATTATGGGTGCTGTTAAAATGTTATAATGGATTGGCTGTTTTAGATAAAAATTGTACATTTTTTAAAATAAATGCAATAAACAACTTTGGCTTGTTAGCTTAGTATGACACAGTTAGACATATTAAAATATTTTTTTATTAGAGAATATTTTTTGTTGAATTTAGTTACACCAATGAAAACAATAAGGGTTAGGAGACGCATTTTTAAAACACATGATTTCAACTTGCTTAAAGGGATAGTTTAATCAAAAATGGGGTGAAAAAATGTTCAAACCAAAAAAATTCTCAACCTCATGTTGTTCCAAACCTGTACGAGTTTCTTTCTTCTGCTGAACTCAAAAGAAGGTATTCTGAAGAATGTTTGTAACCAAACAGTTGATGGACCCCATTGACCATTCCATAGTGGGAAAAAAATGGAGCCCATCAACTATTTTGATACAAACATTCTTAATAAATAAACTGTCTGCACACTCAAATCCTTAAAGCAAATTTAATAGACCAAGTTTTCGGTCCAGGGCCCTGAGGATGGTCTTTTGACCGAAAGCTTGGTCTATTAAATTTGCTTTAAGGATTTGAGTGTGCGGACAGTTTATTTATTGAGATCTTTAGTCTTGTGTGTCTGGCACCTTGAAGATTGTGAGTGCGGTGTAACTCCTTCGATACAAACATTCTTTAAAATATCATCTTTTTCAAATTCATACAGGTTTGGTACAACTTGAGGATGAGTAAATGATGACAGAATTGTGATTTTTGGGTGAACTATCACTTTAAGAAAAAAATATATATATTAATATATATATAGGTTGTGGTATTGTATTGTTTGTCCGTTAGATTATTTTTTATATAAATAAAATATTAGATTAGATTAATTTAGTATAACTTTTTTTAAATAAAGCGGGATGCTTTTTGTAGGATGCTTCATCCGGCGTTTTGAGCAGGATGTGTGGATCACTGCAGCCATCTACTGGTCATTTCGCTCAATTAGGTCTAATTAAAATACCACAACATCCGAGAATCCCCATTATTATGTAACTAATTATGTAATTAATTATAAATTATGTTAGTATTATAGTAAGACATCGTAGTAAATATAATAAAGCTCAACAGACTCGCAGGAATGAGCAGGTCCACCATACATCATTGCTTCAACAAACATTACACTTACAAATATACAAGTAACTTGTTATATCATCGCAAGTCAACATCTGAAGTATTTAACACGTCCATCCATAAACTAGAGGTGTTTTTAAAGCAAATGCCGTATTCAGTTGAAGAAAATTTGTGTTAAGTCGAGAAGTCACCGAAAGCTTTTTGAACTGTAGCTCCACATTTCGGCCACTAGGTGGTGAAAAAGTCCAAAAGTCCGTTTGCTGCTCCACCGCAACCTTCGCTCTCCGGACAGACGAGCAAGATGCGCGTTTAGGACCCTGAGGCGTGTGTTTTAAACTCTCCATGTGCACCAGACCATCTCTGTGGTCTGAAATCAGTCACTGCTTTATTACAGCCTGATACGGAACTTCAGAGTCACTTTCTGTCTGAGCAAACAGCAGCCGACGTGATGAGAGAACTACATTTCAAGGATAGTTTTTGGGTAAGGGTTTTGTATTTTTGGGGGGGGGATATGGAGTCGATGTTTAGTAAAACATTGTGAAGATACCGTTTATTTGCACAATACTAAATGATAATCAATTTATCTGATGTGGTATACGTTATTTAGCAAACGCTTTATTTTAAGCTCATCTGTCACATATCGAAACAACGTCAATTCCCTTAAGGGAAGTAAGTTATGGTCAGCACATCCTGAGAAACCAAGTAGTCCATAAAACAACCCAAATAGAAATTATCTTCTAAAATAATACATTGAAAATAAAAATACTGAATTATGCCTGCATATTCAACTATTGCCCATGATTCCAGCTTGGGATCTTTGACTTTGAGACCTTATTTGGCAAAGCAGGCAGTGCAATTTAGTTTTGTTTTCTTAGCTTTTATTTTGGGAGATGTTTCATGTTGACTGTGGCTTTGGGTATGATGCTATGTCTGCCCCTCAGACTTATAAATTACATAGACTGATGGGCTCTGTTAATGATAGTCAAAAGTCCAAACCACCATGTTTTTGAAGACTACAGTGAGGAATTAGTGATACTATGTGGCTCTGTGTGGATTCATGGCTTGCGTGTTCAAAAACTGAGTGACTTTTGTGAAGTTACTTGAATGTGTTTTGTGTATTTTTTGTTTATTCTTCAGAACACTGATATCACCAGCACAGCTGGATATGACACCATCATCCAGCACTTGAATGACGGCAAAAGGACGTGCAAAGAAATCGAGGACTTCATGAAAGCCAGGTGAGAAGTCACAGTCAACACTTTTAGTCTGACACTTTCACCTGAAGGTCTCACTCGTATACATTTACCTTCTTAGTGCATTCACACGAATATTACGGAATTTTACTGCCTCACGACGAGCATTGTTGCAAGATTTCCTGTTGTTCATGTGAAAATGATTTACAGTTAAAAAATGTTCCCATGCTCTGCTAAAGGGATAGTTCACACAAAAATTTTGCCCTTGCCCTCAAGCTGTTCCAAACCTGCATGCGTTTTTCTTCTGCTGAACACAAAAGAAGATATTTTGAAGAATGTCTGTAATCAAACAGTTTCCCATTGACTTCCATAGTATTTTTTCTCTTACAATTGAAGTCAATGGCTTCTGTCAACTGTTTGGTTTCCAACATTTTTCAAAATATCTTCTTTTGTGTTCAGCAGAAACTAATACAGGTTTGGAACAACATGAGGGTGAGTAAATGATGACAAAACTTTAATATTTGGGTGAACTAACCCTTCAGAGTTACAGCAACAAATACTGGGTTTAAAGTCAACATGAAATCAAAATGAACCAAAATAATGTTTTTAAAATGTTGATTTTAAAATGATGCCCCGAAACAAATGTGAATGCATTTGTAAAGAAATGCAGTTTATTTGTAATCCAATTTCAATCTTATTTTCCTAGTCAGACTGATTAATGTCTTGATAGTGCTACAGAACTATGTAAATCTCACAAATAAACTATGAATGATTTACTTGTTAAACAAGGATGGAGAATATATCAAAGCGGTGTGGAAATGTTTCCTCTGTATAGAAATGATGAAACATAAAATCCTTCTTATTGCTGTAACGTGCTCAATATTCATGTTTCATAAAATTAGTAGAACACTTGATTATATTAACGAATAGATTAATAGACTGATTAAAACTCATTCGTAATATTAGTATTTCTTCTTGGCTTGCATACAAAACATTTATCTAAAATATAAAAACATACTTTTCAGAGCTGCAATAGAAGAGAAATACGCCAAGGATCTGCTTGGTTTGTCTAAGAAAGTGTGTGGACACAGCGAAATGAAGTAAGTACTAATGTCTAGTAATTACAGGTAATATTTTGGTTATGTTTTTACAAAGTGCAATTGCTTGAAAGGATTGTAAAGGTAAACCGGTAACTCTTAAGTATTAAATGGCGCATTTGTGCTACGGACATCAAATCATGAGGTTTCTTGTTGAGAAGTGTGCTATTAATATTATAAGCAATCAGACTATATGATGAGGAACCTGAGCCATTTTAGAGTCAGTAAACAGTAATCTAGCAACCACACTAAAGCACCGTAGCAAAGTTCTAGCAACTGCCCACAACAACTTACACTTTTTAGGTTGTTGTCTTGTTTTAGTGGTTAAATTGTTAGATTTTTTTAGCCACAAATGTCTTAAATGTACTTTACGAGACAGTAAATAAAAATGTTATTGTGTTGTTCTGGTTAGATACAATTGATAACCCTTTAGAAAGATAACATTTGAACGGTGCCATGTTGATGTACTGTATTAGACCGTTTCAAACAGTCTCTGTGTTGGTCACATGTTTGTAGTTGGTTTGTGGTTTGTGTCTTTCCTCTTACTATGGGGTGATAAAAAAAAAAAGTGTAACTGTTCTTTACAAGTGACTGATGTCAGCAATTTTACAATAGTTTTATTGCACAAAATGGATGTCATTACTCATCGATGTTTTGTCTGTTTTTAGCACCCTGAAACGATCACTTGACGTTTTCAAATTACGTGAGTAAATACTGTCTGAAAATGTAATGATTGCAGTTTATTGTTCTGTTACCCTCCCTTATGTTTAAATTGAATGTTTAGAAACAGAAAATATGAGTTTGTCTCATCTGCATTTGGCCCAAACCATGAGGGAGGAAGCAAAAAAATTAGAAGACTTCAGAGAGAAACAGAAAGAGGCCCGGAAGAGGGTAAGATGCACAATCAGCTTTTCATACTTTGTAATTTACATATTAAAAGTGAAGTGTGCCATAGCTGCATTATCAGTGTCACTAAATGGAAAGACTAATCTGGAGAAAGTTATTCGTTAGCGTTCCCATTCATCTTGATGGTTGTTGCTCAGTTGGCGCAGGACCTCTTGGAAATATGGGTGTCCAGTTCTTGGCACTGTTGTTGTTTTTTACCCAGGTGTAAAAGCGACCATTTGCTCTGGTGTTGCAAGGAAATGACAATACTAACTGTCCGATGACACAACACGAACACGCACTTCTTCATGAACACTTCACTATTTCGACTATCCTGAGCTGGGACAACAAAAGCTTGCTTACAGGGAAGAATATATGTAGCCTCCAACAAACAGTCTGCTACTATACTAAAATGAAACATTAGCAATAGTGCGCTGAGAGCGATGAGGTATTCTTGTAGGCTAAACCGGCAGTTAGCATCACGCTAGTTCCCTCGACAAAAACCCAATAAGGCTTTTTCATTGGCTTTTGGAATATTGCATTAAAATAAGCTCTCTGACCAACAAAAGCTTATGATTCTTACACGTTTTATTAATTCCAAGAAAATTGCCATATAATTGATAGAGTGCCTTCTTTGTGAACGCAAACACATCTCGGGATTGATCCCGGGATGGGGACCTAGTAACATTGCTGGGTCAATGCTGTACGGGGTGTGTTGCATGCACAGATTCCAGAAAATCACTGGCAGTGTGAAAGAACCAAAATCAAACGATCCTGGGACAAATCCCGGGACACATTTTCAGCGTATTTTCCGGAATCTCTGTGTGAAAGGGGCTGTCGTTTTCAAAAGTGAGATTATGGCTGTGAAAGTGGACTAGTGAGTAGATAACTGTACCTGTTAGGCCTGATGACATTTAATGTCCTGAGAACCTCTGTAGTCCCATTTAGTCACTTGTCAGCATCTGCCTTTTTCAAGACAAGTAAACGCTTTAAAAATATCACAAGAGGGTATTACTGGTGTATTTTATGTCATAGAATAATACATGAATATATATATATATTGAGCTTGTGTTAACCACAGACCTTATTTCAGGCAGTTAACCCAAAACCCATTGCCTTCATTGGCCTATCCTGCATCCCTGCAGAAACACGCGTGCAGCCATCTTTAGAATTCTGTCTTAGAACTTCCGTTTTTGCTGTAGCTAAGCTCTGTATACATTATTATTATACATATTTATATTATTAACGTAATTACTTATATTGAATAATTTTAATTAATTAATAATTATATGTAATTAATTAATAACGTAATACTATTATTAGTAACATATTATTATACATATACATATATACATATTTCGATGGCATCGATGGTGTTTGATTATGATTTCACTTTTTTAACTTAAGTTGGTGTGTAATGTTTCTGTTTGAGCATAAACAACATCTGCAAAGTTATGACACTCAAAGTTCAAAGCAAAGGGAGATATTTTCTTTTACAGAAATCGCTTTTTAAGGACCACAGCAAACCAATGAGCTTCTTCACTAACCCTAAAATTTACATAAACCCCACCCCCGGGAACACATTTATAGATTATCATGACAGAATATGGTAAACAAGATAGATCTCCACATAAACTACATAAATTCATCAACTAACCATTCAGAAATGTCCTGTTGTTGCAATCTGTATGTTGTCACTTCTCCATCTTTGTCCGACTCCAGTTTGAACATTAAAGGCTAAAAGTTTTTTAAATTTTCAGTGTGTGTTTGTGTGAGGTAATCGAAGCTGCTAACACACAAGCTCTGGAAGCTCCGCCCTCTGTACTGGGAGCAGCAGCTCATTTGCATTTAAAGGGACGCACACAAAAACTATGCGTTTTTTGCTCACCCTCAAAAAGTGACAATTTTAACATGCTATAAAAAATATCTGTGAGGTATTTTGAGCTAAAACTTCACATACACACTGGGGACTTCAGAGACTTATTTAACATCTTGTGAAAAGGGCATTATAGGACCCCTTTGGCTTTAACTGGTGAATGAAGTGGATTTACTTATTGTAGAGTTAACGAAAGTTATCATGAATATTGTCATGTTTGAAGCGGATGCAATAACAAAATGTCAGTAGACTGGGAAGATTTTAAAACGAGCGGTTTATTCATTAATCTTCATGCTGTGAAAAAATCCCCTCACCCATTGGTCAAACAAACCGCATAGTGTTTTGATAGAGTTAGAGAATGTTTACACTTTTCAGGTGAATGAACCTACAAATGACTTGCTTATAGTATAGGAGAAAGTATTTTAACTAGGGAAAAAATGACACCTCATTTTCTACAGTACATAATGATACTCATGTTAAATTGAAGAAATGAAATTAATATTTTTTTTTTTTTTTTTTTTTTTTTTTAGGTAGAACAGCAGATGGACGCTCTTCATAAGCAGAAGGGTGCTCAGTATAAGAAAACTGCTGAGGTGAGCATACATCAGAGAGCAAAGCGTACTCAGGAACTATGCACTGTCTGTATACTGCCGTCTATCTGGGCTTTGCTATAATAGGTGGTTCAACCCCACTTTTATATGGTACCTTATGCCCTTTATGGGAAGTATATTTTCTGAAGCAGTGGCAGGAGGGAAGTGAATAAGTGCACCCGATTTTAGCCATACAAAATGGGAAGTGATCAGTGCTGAATGGCATTGTTCATTAAAATGACAGCTTCTTATTCAAACTTAAAACAGTTTTGAACTTGATGTATTGAGGTTGGTTTCCTTTTCTTTTATTAACATCAAGGTTTTCCATAAAGCATCCGTATATCTTAGCTAAGAAAACACATGAACTTTTTGTGGAAATGAACAAATTTATTTGTGTAGCTATCTAAGATAATTGTGCTTTTTAAAAATTACTTTTTATTACAATTTTCCACATTTAGAATAACAGTAAAGTTGTCAAAATAATGAAATTACACAAATTGAAGTAATAGATTTGTTGCTTTTTCTTCACTATCTGCACCAACTGATCCATATAAATAAATATGATTCAAATATTAGAAGGTGATTAATACATACCCATGATGATTAGTCATTGTCTACGTTTTTGTATTCTATATTTTTCTGCCTTAATCTCTAGATCACAATGTTTTTGGGATCATGAGAAACATGAGTTCAGAAAAATGTGTCCACTTTTAGTTGGTAGTGTAGAATTGTGTTTCTGTATACAGTATAATAAAGATGCATAGACAGTTTTGGGTAACACTATATTTTAAGGTAACGTAGTTACACGTTACTTACTATAGTAATAACAGTAAATTATTCATAATTGCAAGTAACTTACCCTTACCCTAAACCAAACCCTAACCGTAACTCTATAGTAAGTACATGTAGTTAATTAATATTGCTCAGTATTTATCTAGAGTAAGTACAATGTAACTACGTCACCTTAAAATAAAGTGTAACACAATTTTGACCGGAAGATTATGGCTATCATATAGAATATAGATTATAGTTAGACATAAGATGCATTGGTTAAATGTCAATGGGTATTTTTAAGGCAAAGAAGACCTATGATCAAAAGTGTCGAGATAAAGAGGAAGCAGAGCAGAACATGAACAGAAACGCCACCACTAGCAGTTCCAAGCAGCAAGAAAAGGTATGCAAGTAGAAGAGTGAGAGTACATCTGTTTTTTCCTATCCTGTATGACCGCTGCAAGAATCTTGCTTTCATTTACACTTTCTTTGCTGTTGTGCATATTTAGAAGCCTCTCTTCTTTTCATTGCTTCATGCATTTTGCTTTTACTTGCACTTTTTACAGTGTTAGCAAGGCATCGCTTTATTGATATTCCTCCAGTTAAAGATTAATCCAAACCCTTGACTGTTAACTATTAAACTTCTATGAGTAATCTAAAACCGATTTACAAACAGACTCCATTTTGCAATGGAATGTTATAGGTAAGCCATAGACTAGAACAGGTATAGAGTGCAACAGTTCCCCCGCCCACTTTTTCAGTGGCGTTGGTTCCGGACGTATTTTTTTACGTTCATTCTCCCATAGGGATTTCAAAAAAGTCTTTGTTAAAGTGTTATAAGCCATGATGAACCAAGCCAATCAGCTACGAGGTGAATCACATCATTATAACTTTGATTTGAAGCAAAAAAGTATTTGAAAAACGGACAAAAATACAAAGGTACAACAAGACTACTTAACGGCTTTAGTGAGGGAAAGAACTACAATCCCATGATGCATTGCGAACAGCATAATCGAATCAAAAACGATGGAGAAATATAACACTACTCATGTACAAATGTTATGTATACATAAAAACCATGTATTTTAAGTTTATTGCAAAATATGCATATATGTTCAAACATTTAAGTATTTTGAGAGTGTATCGAGACTTGATTATGTCATTCGCAGTGCTTTACTGGAGTGGGCAGAGCAAAAGAGCTCTTTTGGCTCATTGTGGTTGTTTCGACTCTCTTGATTGGTGTAATTTTCTGTACAGCATCATCGTTAATGTAGTTTTTCACCATGAATTCTACTTGTTGAAATAATGCGGGCTGACGTCTTTAACAGAAGCAAATACCATTGATGAACAACCTTGTAGCTCACAGTAGGTTTGTCTTCAAATGTTTAGTATCGTTATCGTTAGTTAAGTTATCGTTAAAAATCAATTTCTCGAATGAATGGCGTTTACTATATATATATATATTTTTTTTTTACAGTCTATGGTTTTACTTCCTGAACCAGACTGTTGCACTCTTACACTGTTACACCAAGACATTTCTTGTATGTAGAACTACTTTCTTATGCATCTTATGCATAATTTCTGTTTTGAATGAGTTAAGCCTGCTTGTCATTTCAGAAGACTTGAGCGGTTGTTATGTGCGTGAGAGATTAAGTGTGTGTGAATTACTCGAGCTTGTGCTCAGAAGTGTCCGACAGCGTTTCTAATAGAGAAGCTGCATGTTTAAAAAAGAAAACAACCACCTCACTATACTTGTCATTTATTTTAGTAGAGAAACTGATAAACTCACAGGACACTGTGACAAGATCTGTGTGTGCGAGTGTGTGGGGGCGAAAGAGAGAACAGGAAAAAGAAATAGAAAGTACTTTCTGTAGATAAAAGAGGACTTGTTTAGTTTAGTACATTTAGTACAGTGATTACACCTGACTGGAACTTCCTCTGGATTAAAGGATTTTAACATATTCCAGCCAATTCTAGAGCGACCTGGTACAATCCAAACGTAGTGACACTAGTTATGTCTCCATCCAAAGGTGTGAATTTAACTTGGAATATTGGAATTGGAATTTTGAATAAAAATAAATAAAGCAGCGTTTCCATCCCATGTATTCAAGAGAACAAACTCGACACTTCCTGGGAAATTGGCACAAAATATCGAATAAAAATGGAAGTTGTTGCAATCACTGTGACTCTTTTATCCTACATCATAAATGACTTGCGTCTCAAAGCGCACAGACGAAACCGCTGTCATGTTATCTTGCGTTCGTTGTGACATTTGCATATGACTTCTCATTCGGTTTCCTTTCTTGAATCTGTTTTATCATTTTAAAGCTGCTTTCACACTTCACAGATGCATTGCATTAAGTTAAGATACTTGTGTGCGGTCGACAGAAAACAAGCATAATGCATACACAAAACTGTAAAAGATCTAATTCTGTTTGGTGTGTATGACGACGTTATTAGCATATTATGGAACACTTTCTTTTCTAAATGGAGAGAAAAGCAAACATAAATTCAGCGTATCTCCAGATAAGGCAAATGAGTAAGGACAGAAATGCAAAACAAACCAGCAAGGCCACGCATGGGAACAGATGAATGCCAGAGGACTGTTACTCATCGTAAAACATGGCAGTAATGTTGGAAGTATTTGTGATACCCTGAGGACAAGACTCTTGAATGGCTATAAAACATGTGTAGCGAGTCAACCATATGTCTTCATTCGTTCAGAGAGTAAATAGACACGATAGGAAACTACTGTTTTTAGAGCACAGCTAAAAGAGAGGAGTGCCGTTTAGTTGTCTGTAATATGTGCTGTTAAGATGTGAATGATCATACAAAGACATTCTGTTGTATAAATGATGTCACTCTCTCATACTCTCTCAAGCTGTACGCCAAAACACAGCAAGCCAAGCAGACAGCAGAGGAAGCTGGTAAGAAGATGCACTAATAATATACTTGCTAATAATAATATTCTTTAAATAGGGCTGGGAAATATTTAGTTTTTAATGATTCTTTTGGCAATATAAAAAAAAAGAGCATTTAAACAAAAATTACAATATTCAATGAAAATCCAGCTTTTAATGTGGTTTATATGTCTATGTGGTGTTTTTAATATGCTTTAAGACAAACCATGTGCAAATTCATGTCAACACCATTGCTGAGTATTTTCTCCTTAAAACTTCAGTGAACCAAAGACAGTCTCAAAAACGCGGTTTGAAATCGCTGGTGTTTCTGAGGTCACAAACTACCTTGTAACCAATCACGTCAGCGTGCCGGCGAGCTTTAGCATATCATTAACTATTCTCTGAAGCAGTGAAGTCTTGAGAGAAGCCAGGTTATCCCGGTATATTTTTCTGTTGACATAAAGAATCGGGTACTTTTAGCAATATAGCGGCTAAATTATGTATATGATGTATATTATGATGTTATGATGATCTATATGCCTTTCTCCACTGACGATCCTAGTTGTTCAAGGCGTTTCTAAGGATACTGATTTTTAGAAAAGCAGACTGAGATGGCAAACTTGAACATAGTTTGGGTAACATTAGCAACACATTATTAGCAGTTTGATAACATAGTCAAGCAAAAGGCAACTCGTATAAATGACCGTTATGTGTCCGACGTTGTAAAGAGCGATACCATTGTGCAGCGTTTACTACAGTAGAGTTGACCGAGTGAATCTGTGAGCTGTTGTGAGTGAGTGGAGGCGGGGCTAATTAGCATATTCATAGATCCGCTTATACTAAATGAAACGAGGTTACATTCAAGCTATTTAAAGGCATGAAGTGACTTTTAAATATCTAATTTTGGTGGTCGTAGATGAGTTTTAAGGGATAAAATTATTCTTTAGTGTCTTTAGACCAAGCGGAAACCTTCCTGTCTCTCTCTTGAAACCAACACGGAGGTGACTTAAACTGCAATTCATCGACTGGCCGCTAGAGACAGGCTGCAAAAGAGAGTCAATCCCATAGACCCCCCATATAAAAATCCGGTTTATCCGGGAGTGACGCGCTGCCAAGATGGCGACGGCCGGATGCCAAAAATGCTCTTCAGAAACCTACGGGTGAAGTCACGGACACTAAGTCTATATTTTTTACAGTCTATGCTTTAGACTAATTCTGCAGCTTGTATATACACTCACAAGGATTATTAGGAACACCATACTAATACTGTGTTTGACCCCTTTTCGCCTTCAGAACTGCCTTAATTCTACGTGGCATTGATTCAACAAGGTGCTGAAAGCATTCTTTAGAAATGTTGGCCCATATTGATAGGATAGCATCTTGCAGTTGATGGAGATTTGTGTGATGCACATCCAGGGCACGAAGCTCCCGTTCCACCACATCCCAAAGATGCTCTATTGGGTTGAGATCTGGTGACTGTGGCGGCCATTTTGGGTTGAGATCTGGTGACTGTGGCGGCCATTTTAGTACAGTGAACTTATTGTCATGTTCAAGAAACCAATTTGAAATGATTCGAGCTTTGTGACATGGTGCATTATCCTGCTGGAAGTAGCCATCAGAGGATGGGTACATGGTGGCCATAAAGGGATGGACATGGTCAGAAACAATGCTCAGGTAGGCCGTGGCATTTAAACGATGCCCAATTGGCACTAAGGGGCCTAAAGTGTGCCAAGAAAACATCCCCCACACCATTACACCACCACCACCAGCCTGCACAGTGGTAACAAGGCATGATGGATCCATGTTCTCATTCTGTTTACGCCAAATTCTGACTCTACCATCTGAATGTCTCAACAGAAATCGAGACTCATCAGACCAGGCAACATTTTTCCAGTCTTCAACTGTCCAATTTTGGTGAGCTCTTGCAAATTGTAGCCTCTTTTTCCTATTTGTGTGGAGATGAGTGGTACCCGGTGGGGTCTTCTGCTGTTGTAGCCCATCCGCCTCAAGGTTGTGCGTGTTCACAAATGCTTTGCTGCATACCTCGGTTGTAACGAGTGCTTATTTCAGTCAAAGTTGCTCTTCTATCAGCTTGAATCAGTCGGCCCATTCTCCTCTGACCTCTTGCATCAACAAGGCATTTTCACCCACAGGACTGCCGCATACTGGATGTTTTCTCCTTTTGACGCCATTCTTTGTAAACCCTAGAAATGGTTGTGCGTGAAAATCCCAGTAACTGAGCAGATAGTGAAATACTCAGACCGGCCCGTCTGGCACCAACAACCATGCCACGCTCAAAATTGCTTAAATCACCTTTCTTTCCCATTCTGACATTCAGTTTGGAGTTCAGGAGATTGTCTTGACCAGGACCACACCCCTAAATGCATTGAAGCAACTGCCATGTGATTGGTTGATTAGATAATTGCATTAATGAGAAATTGAACAGGTCTTCCTAATCATCCTTTAGGTGAGTGTATAAGAGCATTAAGACAAGAGAATAATATACCGATATATTAGCCAGACGGATAAATTGGTTGATAATTGGTCATTTTGAGCACTGCTACTTAATATACAGCGTGAAACATACAGCATGAATATGAGTGTAGTCTGATTCCCGAATTATTAAGTCTAATGAGACGGTTCTTTTTTGTGAATTAAACACATACATCTTAATCTTTAAAACCTACTTTATGTTGTTCTTAAGGCTTCTCTAGTTAGTTACTGAGTAGTTGTTCATATGTCAATGTGTAGTTAAAAATACACATAATGAGTTTTGTTTGTATTTTACTTGTCTATTTTGTCCAAATGAATCTGATATATAAATATTAAGATATGATTCAATTATCATCAAAAGGCCTACAAATATAGTCTTTATTTAGTTGTATTGCCCAGCCCTACACACTTGAACAGAACACAACTCGTGTTGTAACACAACTGTTCTATTTCATTTCTAATTATGCCCTTTGTTTGACTGCGTATTAGACAGGATATACAGTCAGAATGTGTTGGCTCTGGGGAAGATGAGAGAGGAGTGGCTGAACGAGCATGTCAAAGCATGTGAGGTGAGCGCTACGCCCCGGCCTGCATCACACACCCCAACACTGATGACTGCTTTTCACAGCTGATCGATGACAAAACAAACCTGATCATGTCAGGTCATGCGAAGCCTGATCTTGAAAATGGGTTGTAAATGGTATTTCATGTTTCACAGCAAAACCATTAAACGCCAAACGAAAATGTAAAACTATTGAACGACACAAACAGTCTGAATTCAAACACGCTTTAACAAGTTATTAAGTGGTTAGTGTGAATAAGGAAAGATATTTTTATGGGGTTGTTTCATAATGTTATGATCTTTCTACTTTGACATCTGATGTGCATGTTGCTGCAGTTTTTTGAGAAACAGGAAGTGGAAAGGATCAACATGCTGAGGAACGTAGTGTGGACCCATCTCAACCATCTCTCCCAGCAGTGCGTCACCAGCGACGAGGTAACCTGAGCCGTGCAACATTAGGTAAGACCCACATATGGAACGTGCCTTACCATCTCCACTTCTGTTTTATGCAGATTCATGAGGAAGTGAGGAAGTCACTGGAGCAATGTAACGTTCAAGAAGACATCGAGCATTTTGTCAACCTCAGAAGAACCGGAGACAAACCGCCAGGTAATCTCAGCGAGTTTGTTTTTTTAAAACAGTCAAAAATCCACATAAACAAAATGCATGAGGGACAAAGATGTTACCACACAGATTTCACATTGGGTTCGAGTGAATTTTTACCACATTGACCAACAGAAAGCTGCTTGGTTTGAAAGTGACTTTCTTGTGAATTGAACTTCATACATTACAACCAGGGCTTGATGTTAACTTTTTTAACTGTGGCTAGTGGTTTTCCAAAGTTACTAGCCACTCAGCATTTTGACTGGCCACAATTTTGACATCGATACCAGAGGGGGAAAACTGCCAAATAGATATTTTTAATATTATCTTATAATTTGGCAGCAGGTATATTAGGCTGCTGTCACTTTAAGACCTGATCCATTTTACTGTTACACATGCGTTTTCTTTCTCAACTGTTTACATTCACTGAAAACAAAACTTACTGTGTTTACATGAAAACTCGTCAAGACCGGCATTTTGACATTATTTTGTGTGTATTTGACTGTTAAAAGCGCAATACGCAGCGAAAAAGAGCTCAATAGTACTAAGAGGCAGCTTTATGTGCGCTCACTTTGGGTATGAGCACAACATCTGCGGGAATGAGTAAAATTATGCACAAATACGCGCAATCCCGTGCCGAAATTCAAACACTGTAACACCAACAATATTCATCCGGAACAAATGAAACGAGTGAGTGAGGGGAGGCGGGTTTGTGTGTCAACTCGCTGTCGGAGAGATAAGAGAGCGAGAAAGTGCAGCTGGTAGAAAAAGAATCTATTCAGCAAAAAAAGAGTATTGGATGAATTTGGATTATTTTAGTATCAATATGTATCGATCTATTGATTGAAATCTATATTTCTGACAACACTACATTGCACTTTATTATTTCAGATGTCTTTTTAAAAGACTACAATTGAAAAGTGTATGTTATATATAAAATTCAACCCGCCAAGGTGGGTAGTAGGAGTGACTGTTACACGCCACTGCTGAAATCCACCCGGGTTTTAATGTCAAGCCCTGATTACAACACTATTGAAAGGACAATGGATCTTTATTGAGCAAAATTGAGCAGACATTTTACCAATGTAACTGTACTTTTACTTTGTATTTTGCTATGTAAACTTTTAGCTCTAATTTAAATAGAAAATAAATTGTTCATTTACTTATCCTTAACATTTTTTTTCTGTTTTTGCCCTTATATAACAAAAAGCATCATAAAAGCACCATAAAATTAATCTATATGACTGAACATAAAAGTTTACGATATGACATATTCCAATTTGATTACAAGACAAAACCTGGTTTGAATATTCTCATGTGCAAATGAGATTTGAGGTGGTGGGGATTTAAATTTCCTCGCATCAAGCTATCATAAATCTTCTGAAAAGTTTGGTCTACTTTTATTGTGTCCTTATCAGAGCTTGATGGTCCGCAATAATGTAAAGAGCAGCGTTCCACTCAAATATGAGCTTGATGACATTTTATGTTTGGTTAAACTATCCCTGTAATGTTTGTTAAACTGATCTTTCCTCAGCACCTGTCCCATATGAGAACTTCTACAATAATCAGAGATCGGCTGGAGTTCGCTCCCTTCCAACACCTGGCAGGTGACCCCTCACTCCCTACAGATGGATCTTGCAAACTGACATTCAACGATTAGTTAGTCACTTTATTTCTTACGTAAATTCTTGCTTTTATATTATCTTATGTCGTGCTGTGTTATATTTCAGGAGAGCAGCAGCTCCTCCACCGCCAACTGCAGAGAGTATGAAAATATTATGTATATTGCGATGTGTTTATACATTCTCTTCTGTATGTTTGTACAATTCCCAATTCTTGTTGTATCTTTCATCCTTCAGATGATCCTTTATACTCGACTGTAGCGGAACCAGGGTACAGCCTAATACGATACTAATAAGAGCGTAATTCGGTAAGAATTCTTGAAGGAATGTAACCTTGACGTACAGTTTACAAACAGTAATATTAATGCTAGAGCAAGTATTATACAGTTACTAATGTTGTTTATGAAATGGTGTTTCAGTTATTGTTATGTTCTTTTCCAGTCTTCGCAAACCCTGCTGCTCTATAGGAATACAGTGAAGGCATTTGCGACTTTTTCCATCAAGGGCTGAAAAGCACATTGGTTATCTTCTAATGCTGTTGCCGGCATCCTCACACTGTGTGGTGAGAATATATATTGTGTCCTGGCATGAAGGGGTGTTCTTATCTCTGTGTAAAAAGCATCTTTGCGACTTTTTCCATCAAGGGCTGAAAAGCACATTGGTTATCTTCTAATGCTGTTGCCGGCATCCTCACACTGTGTGGTGAGAATATATATTGTGTCCTGGCATGAAGGGGTGTTCTTATCTCTGTGTAAAAAGCATCTTAACTTGCTAACCTAAAATCCACCCTTGCAAACAGAGTGAGTTTAGACACTATTGCGTTTTGCGTAGTGGTAAAAAGTCCAATCTTGAAGTTCTCACTACATTGATAACAATTGATCATCAAAACAACATTGTACAAATCTTTGTATTTTAATCACTGTAAAAAAGGTTGACTAATATAGATTAAGGAATTTAAATGTGGAGTGCACAACATTGCACCTCTAATGGTTCCAAGTGGAATTGCAGTTTGTTTGAGCAGCCTGTTTAGGCTCAACCAATGGTGTGAGTTTGGGGGCGGGTCTACCAGTTTGGCTAGCCAATGGAAGACAGGAAGGGACAATTTTTTGTCATTATTTTGACATTTCTGTTTGGTTCAGCTAGTGGTACACAGCTTTTAAAAGACCACAAAAAGTATAATTTATTTATAATGTAAAATTCTAGACACTGTCAATACATAGTCCTGCACCACTGGATATATTTCTTCAATAAATCTATATATTATTTTAACCCATTGTCCATTGATGAACAGTGTGGTATGTCAGCTTTATTCCTCTGTTGAGGAGTGTCCATTTGAGTCATGAATAGAAAACATTTCCAAGATGGCTGCCGAGTGAACACACCTGAGTGTGCAACCAGTCGACAATATCCCATAAGGCCATGGGAGCTGAGGAGCCATCAGATTCGAAAGTTGAACAGTGAGTGCTATACCTGTAGATACTAAGAAAGTCCTTGTGGTTAAATTCCTTGTGTAGATAAAGATTTAGTTCTAAAAATCATTCTAAATGTAGCAGAATCCACACTACAACTGAAACGAAAACAGCACAGAGGAACAATATTGCTGGAATCCCTTTCAGAATATTTGTTTCCAGCTGATAATTCCATCCTGCATTAAAGAGCTCAAACATTTAAAGTGATGGACAACCAAACTGCAGCGCACGCTTGAAATAAACAGAATGATTCCGTCTGTTGGTGTGGACGCTAATATAGTCATCGTTATAGTTATCACTCTTGATATGAACATGCTTTAAGGTTGACCAATGGCTGAGAAGTTCTTCACAGAATTCAGTAAATATTATGAAGGTGTGGAAATTCAGAAACATCCTTAATCAAATAATGACTGGCTGGTCTAAACATAATTAATAAATAATAATAAATAAATAATCAGTATATATGGGGATGATTAGGGGGCTATGATGGACAGAGGCCAATGGGCAAATTTGGACAGGATGATGGGGTTACACCCCTACTCTTTTTTCCAAAGGATATCCTGGGATTTTTATGACCACAGAGAGTCAAGACCTCGGTTTAACGTCTCATCCGAAGGACGGTGCTCTTTGACAGTATAGCGTCCCCGTCACTACACTGGGGTGTTAGGGCCCACATAGACTACAGGGTGAGCGCCCCCTGCTGGCCTCACTAACACCTCTTCCAGCAGCAACCTGGTTTTCTCAGAAGGTCTCCCATCCAGGTACTAACCAGGCTCAGCCCTGCTTAGCTTCAGTGGGCAACCAGTCTTGGGCTTTAGGATAATATGGCTGCTGGCGATGGAATACTCTTTGAATCTTTGGTCCTGTTTAGACCTGGAATTAAGATGCGTTTTGGTCGATCGGATCACAAGCAAACGACGCTAAATACAGGTGTAAACGGGGTCTAAAACGTTTTGACATTGTCCAGTTTTGGCCACTTCTAGAGGTAGTCGAAAACACATTAGACAGGATTGTTTTCATAGTATAAACACTCATGAGGTCGAATGCGTTCGAACAGCCACAAAAGACCGTCTTCTCTCCGCCTACTGACCTAATGCGTAAACATTATGGGAAGATCCAATTTTGTTTTTAAAAACGAAAAATGTACCAAGCACGATGTTCTCTCACCATTCCTGATTTATAACACACACTTACACACTCTGCTGCTATACGTATTTCTTTCCATCGTCTCCGGTCTCATTTATATGTAAATTGCGCAAGCTTATTTCGTCCATTAGATCGAAAAGATCTAAAAAGAAAAACAACAACACACATTTACCTTGTCCATAGATCTTTGCTTCAAAGAAATCAGGACAGAAGTGATTGAAAGTGGACAAAAGAGACAGATAAAAACACCAGGTGTAAACAGGTTTGTGTCTCCCTCGTCTAGTAAAGATCTGATCGTTAAAAACGCATCTTAATACCAGGTGTAAACAGGACCATATACTGTATCTGTTCAATGCTCATTAGGAACCCAAAGGAACCGACAAGATCCAATTGGTGTGTGAGAGGTGAATGCCTTACCATGTGGGAAAACCTTTGTCTTTACAGTACTGTGGTCTCTGATTGAGGTCTTGAAGCACACAAATTTCCAATCATCACTGTTCATGTTCAGATCAGATTTGATGGATGGGGTTTCCGTAACCACCCGAAGTCCATGGAAAGCCCCAAATATGTTCTTCCTCTGTGCGGAGGACATCTCAAAGCTTTGATTCTTAGTCAGCACTGAATCTTCTATTAGTTGTTGAGGAGCCCGTTCATCCTGGTCCAGCTGGGCCTTCAGATGCTCCAAGTCTACCTGTACAAGTTCATTATCAAGCCTGAGCTGCTTGGATCCTGACGGACAGTTCAAGTTGGTGTCCTCACAGAGAAGTCCTTCACTGAGAAGCTCATTCCAGCTGGACCACAGCTGCCGCTTGACCCCTGATGTTGGGCTTCGTGTGTCAGTAGTGGTGGAGTCAGTTAGAGCTGTGGAAGATGGATCCGATGGCTCTTCCCGTGTGAGCAGAGAGATCCAGGAGTGTTCAGAAGAATGATCCTCTGTTGAGCTCACAGAAGTACAGTGTGACACAGAGTCTCTCTGGAACGAAGTTGTCAAGATCTAGTAGACAGGAAGTGGAATTGACAAACGGTCATTAGTGGTTAACGTGATTTCACCAAGTAGAACAACTTTCCAGTCCATCAGACAGATCTGAGGGATAGTTTTTTAGTTAATGTCAAGTTAAGGCTTACAACAAGGGTCGGGGGCTTCTACGCCATTTTTATTCAACTATCGTTTTCCTCTGATTTTAAGGATAAATTATGGGTTGGGGTAGAGATATGGTTAGGACAATGTTTTTGGACAGGAATGTTGTTCCAGGATCAAAAGTTCACAGTGCATTTTACTTCCAAAACTGATGTATTTCTTGGTGAAACAGGATTTTAAATAAGAAAATATTTCGACGGGACCTGATTTTATCATTCAGGAATTGATTGGATGGTTTTGGTGGTGGATGGACAGATTTTTCTTTGGAATAACATGAACAGATGAAATGTTCACAATAAAACCAGGGTTGTGCAGTAAAAAGGTAAATATGTTGACTTCAAAATTGTGATTGTCAATTGCCCTTCATGGACGGAAGAGTATTTCTTATTTAGTAATCACAATCATAAGGAACTCTGATTTATACTCTTATTTATAAAAAAATAAATAAAAAATGAGGCTTTACATCTAGTAATGTTGCGTAATGCTCCGTCTGTTTAGCCAGACTTCTCAGCTGGGCATTCGTCTCCTTCAGGGTGGATATTTCCTCTTGCTTTCTTCTGAGAGTGGCATGAAGCTGTTGACAGAGACACATTATTACTCAGTAATACAATTAGTGAAGTATGTGAGCGCTATGGAGACATCGGAGATGATGTGATTCAGTCAAACATGTGCTGTCAAAACATCACGCACAGAATGAGCTCATTCAGAGTCATTCAGTTTGCATACCTGAAGAAGTGAAGAATCATTGTCACAGGCAGGAATTTTCATATAGGAAACTATGAATTGGACGACATGCCACAGAATCTGAATAGATTACCCAGTTATGTGGATTACAAATATAAGGATGGACTGACAAAAGTGTGGCCTGAACGACTCTTGCATCTCTTGATGAGATTTGAGAAACACATAAAATAGGGAAGTGATCTTCAGTTATGTCACATTTTTTTCTTGTGGAAATCAGCAACTGCAGCGTGTGAATATTTTCTCATGACTCTGCTGTTCGCTGGTTCTCGAAAACGATTTGATCCCACGGGTTACATTTGTGACATTTATTGAAGGGGTCAAAAAGGTGTTTTTTTACCCGACATTAAGCTATTTAATTCCAGTTTGCTCCTCAGAAAAATATGTCTGTTTTTTTTCCATAAAGTGAGACAAAATAAAATTGCAAAGAAAGAAAATATAAAAAAGAAATATACTTATATTCTTGGTTTATCATTTCTTTTTTTCCAAACAATTGCCTGGTGGTAGTAAAAAAAAAAAAAAACTGTTACTTTAGTGTTTGCAACTTTGCTCAATTTCTCAAACCCAACAATTTTCCATACTTTCACAACTGTGACAAAGAATATAAACCACAAAAGCTTGTTTAGAAAAGGCATGCAGTTTCAGTTTCAATTGTTTCATCGGTCGATCCGAGGAGTAAAACACAGTACGTCACTTTGCTGGCAATGATATGGGAAATAAATGAGCTCATGAAGTGTGATATTTTGGCCGATTCTTCAGTTAGGGGCATCTAAAAGAGAAACATCCTACATATATTTTCATTTACATTTATCACATATCTCGGAATAAAGATCTGATCATGGCCTTGAACAACATTCGAGTGGACTCCTTTTTTCATTTAATATTTCTTTTTTTGGTGAAAAGGTTGGATAAACCTTGGAAACTTGGCACAAAAAGTCAGCTAGCAGTCAATTTAGCAGGATTTTCTTTCCCCCGAAAATGTTAGTTAATGTTATCACATTGGACTAAAATTTACTGACTTTTTTCACACAAGGTATATAACTGTATACTTCTGAATAATTTTTGTATTTTGGAGGGGATTTTCCCCTTCTTGAAGTTGTTACACTTAAAAATGAATGGCCTACAAAAATAGCTTATCATCTCTCGTTACGCTGGATTAAATCTTTTTGTCAACTTGTTTTCTTTCAGTTAGGACAGGTTTGGTATTCATTTTTTAAATTGACTGATTGTAGGCCTCATTGATCTGAGCTTATATTGGTCAAAACTGAACATCCATTGAAAATAAACGGGGGAGATCGAAAATAAGAGAAACATTGTGTTCAGGAGCCTGTTCATCATGTTCATGTTTACATATTTACATGTGTCCTTGCAAATATAAAGTAATACCATAGCTACTATAATATTTGTAGCCATAAGCCTACAACAATAATAATAAATAAATAAAACACAATGACATATTTTCAGTTTTCAGGTGTAAATTCGTATCTGTATATAACTTCTTAATTGTTTCTAAGTGCTTTGTCATTTTCTCAAGTCTATAGTAGGCTACTTCTCACCTGTGGCAAAGTCCAACAACAGATCTTCATTAGATGACTGGATGTCTGGGCTTGCTCCATTATCCTGCTGATGAAATGTCATAAAATGACTCTCATGCAAATTCTTATGCTTTTTTCATTCGTCGTACTGTAATATTAAATAAGACAGCTGAGTGTAGAAGCAGGTCTGCATGGTGGAGTAATGCGAGTGAGCATGTGTGATGATGCGCAGTGTTTCTGTCAGACCTGGAGTGACATCACAGCCCGACCGTTGTCGTCAGGTGCGCGTGTTTGTAGCGACGCGTCGCGTGCCTCGAGACTCCGCGCGCTTCAGAGCGCCCTTCATTTCAGCGGCAACCGAAGCTCCTCCGCCTCGTACGCTGCTCTTGTGTACTTTGGAATCTTTCACATCAATATTAACACTTCATGAGTAGTCCATAGCTGTTTTTGTTTAGAAAACTACGCGTTCTTAGAACAATTTAAGAAGAGAATAAAGTTTTAGGGTGCATATTTCTTTCTCGGGCGTTTTCACACCTGAAAGTTCGCACCAAGGTCCGAAAGTATAAAATGTATCAAAACGTGAACTTTGGCGAACGCAAAGTTTCTCAGGGGAACAAAGGTTTTGCTAGCAAAAGCAAAGTATCTCAGGGGAACGTAAAACGTTTTGTGAGCGAATGCAAAGTTTCCCAGAGGAACGCAAAATGTTTTGCAAACTAACGCAAAGTTTTTGCGAGAGAATCCAAAGCATTGACTTATTATTTTTCCTCCCATCTCCTATTTTTCCCCCACCACCATGTCCCTTTAGAGGCACCACCTTTTTTTCTTCTGAATGATATCATTTGATTTTTGAAAGATCCATCCTCAAAGTCCACTGTCAAAGTTAACCTTTAATGTCTTTTATTTACGATAACTATGGTCAGACTTGAGACATGAATCTTAACCACTTCACATAACTTGATATTGCATTCAGTCTATCAATAACAAAACAATAACATTATCACCACAAAATTGTTCTCTGCATTCCTACAGGCTTATAGTAAAAACACAACCCTGTGGATTTGAAGAATACCACAAACATTTTGTTTGTCTTAAAATATTTTTTATAGTTTGGCAATATAATTTACAGTCTCACCCCTCGGTGAGGTTTGTCAACATTTAATTCATAGTCAATTCATGGTTGAATACAAACAGGCATTTCCTCAGGGCATGTTTTCTGACTTGATCAGTTCTGTGATGATCTGTATGGTCTTCTCATCTGAAGAGGATAAAAATGAAAGACGGCATCATGTGTGCGTTCACAACACAAAGACTGTTCGAAAAGGTATGCGTATACATATACTGACTATAAATATAATGATTCATTCATTTAATAACCAGTTACTTGTACGGTTAAAGTTACCTTCCAAATTCATTTTAGGGTTGGCCAATTTCCTCTCCAGGAGGGAGTCCATCAGCTTGCGAAGGTGTTTGAAGATCACGCCAATTCTGACTGGAGCCTGATGGGAATTGAGACAGATAACAGAGTTATCTCACAGTTTGACAAACCATTTTGTGATGCCTCGGTGCTCCTGCCAATGAGGTGATCAATGCAAAGCAGGTAACCAGCCAAGCATGGATAACCAATGAAACAGGACATGCATGCAAAACCTTTCCCTGACCTGGAAGTAGATCCATCCATCCAGAGAGATGAGCCTCTCCCTGTGTTGCACATCAATATCACCTCCAAACAGCAGCAATGATAAAGGACAGATCAACGTAGTGTCTCTTAGAAACACCTTAGAGTATTTCACCTGTAGGCAAAATGAGAAAATAGTGGTTCAAATACACAAATGATAAGGGTCAACGACACACAAGAGTGTCCCTAATAATGAAAAGGATTTAAAAGTCATTTTAAAAGAAAGGAAAAGCAGGTGAAAAGTTCTTTGAAATGTACTATTTGTATTCATGTTGGTTTCATATGGTTTTAAAAAACTTTTTAAAGAAATGTTTCAGAAAACACCTTCATTTTTATTTCCAAAATGTTTTAAAATAAAAATGTCGAGGTAAAAGTATTTATTACATCTTTATTAAATCCATAAATATAATTGTTTTTGAGTCGCCGCACCATATTGTTATAAAATAAGTATGTGGTCAGTCACACCACATGATTTTGAGGATGTTTTTGCAAATATTAATAAGCAATTTTATTAAAATATATAATATAACAATCTAATTACATCATTTTAATAAAATATTTGTCTAAGACATAATAGAATATAATGCCAAAAAACTTAAGGTTTTCTTTTCAAACACTTCCCTTCTTTCGTCGTTTTTTTTTTTTTTTTTTACTATGCCCCAAAACAAATGTCAAAATGATGAATTTTAATTAGGGCTGCACGATTTGAGGAAAATGTCATATTGCGATTAATGAGGTCAATATTGCGATTGTGATATGCGATATAATAAACAAATGGTTTCATGAGTCAACTTGCTTGGTTCTAAAGTAAAATGCACACATAGATTAGTGATCATTCTGTGTATTAATGTGTATTTCTCAACTCAAACTAGCAACAACAACTAAATGATTAATAACACCTATAATGATAAATAAACCATTGATGTCTGGATAAAAATGACGACACCCCCCACATTTTAAACGTTAATTATAGCCATCCAACATTACAGTGATTCCATCAATACAATTGAAAGCTATCAACTTTTAAAATATTTATTAGGCTTGGAAAAAAAATAACAGCTTTTAAATTAAGTGAACTTCAAACAATCCTCACATAAACCCTACCTGTTAACACATTGTCTTAACAGGTAGGATTGAGGATTTATATACAGATTTATATACAGAAATTGAATAAAGTTATCAAACAGTCTGTGCTGCATGAATTATAAATTATATATAGACTAATCCTTATTAAAGCTACAAAACTTCTTTAGTCAAGAGCAGTGAGTAATTTTCTGTTCCCTTTGTTCTTTGATTAACTTTACTGACGGAACGCTTTATTCGCTGCTGGCCCTTTAAGAGCAGCCGTTGCCGAGACGCGTATCTCTCACGCGCCTCATTCTCTCACAAGTGACAAGCACAACTCTTTTCGTCCATCATAAGACTGCTCTTATGTTATGAAGATAAACGACATTTTGGCATAATTGTGTGTGTTATTGTTCGTTCAAGCTCGAAAGAGAACTGTATTCTGGCACCCGGTCTGTGCATGCGCATTATACTGGCGCGCGTTTTTCTGTGAGTCACATTCAGGACATTGACAGGCAGCGCGCTCTCTTTTGACTTCTTGTCGTGCAAAATGGTTTTAAGGCATTTGCACGAAGAGCGGGATCATGTAACA